TTCATCCATTAATTCCATTTATTATGAACATAAGAAATTTCAAATTTATTATATATATCCATTAATTATAGATGTAGGAAAATTCAAATTTATTTTACTTTCTCAATATTTTATATATATATTCATCCATTAATTCCATTTATTATGAACATAAGAAAATTCAAATTCATCTTACTTTCTCAATATTATATATATATTCATACATTAATTAAATTTATTATGAACATAAGAAAATTCAAATTTATTTTACTTTCCCAATATTTTATATATATTCATCCATTAATTCCATTTATTATGAACATAAGAAAATTCAAATTTATTTTACTTTCTCAATATTTTATATATATATTCATCCATTAATTCCATTTATTATGGATGTAAGAAAATTCAAATTTATTATATATATCCATTAACTACAGATGTAAGAAAATTCAAATTTATTTTACTTTCTCAATATTATACTGTATATATATATATTCATCCATTAAATTCCATTTATTATGAACATAAGAAAATTCAAATTATTATATACATCCATTAATTATAGACAAGAAAATTCAAATTTATTATATATATATATTCTATTTATTATGAACATAAGAAAAATTCAAATTCATTATCATAAAAAAATTCAAATTTATTATACATACATTCATCCATTAATTATAGATGTAAGAAAATTATATATATATTCATCCATTAATCCTATTTATTATGGATGTAAAATTTATCTTCCCAATAATTCATATATATATTCTTATTTATTAACTTTATTATAGTTTCAATAATATCAGAGCCTGGTATTTATTAATGTATGAAATTTATAATAGTCATGATGAACCAAGATTTTTTATTGAAGAAAAATATAGTAACTTATTATAATTTGAATTATTAATATATCAAGAAAACATGCTATATATTAATTCAAAAAACAGCATCCTTGATATTGCTTAATTCTAGGTATGCATGCATAATAGCTATAAATTCATATATTGTATGTAATTTAAAACTCAACGGGTATGCATTATTTTAATTTATATATGAAAGGATCTGCATAAATTTAGCCAATCATTTTTTGTTTTGATTCTTTTTTAGAATTACACAATGAATCTAGAATGTTAATCATTACAGTATTTGGAAATTCCAAATTTGGAAATCTCCCTGACTGTAATTGCACAGTGCAAAAATTTTTGAACCCCCCACGTATTTAAGAATATCCACCACTTATTTACATACAAATAAATAATTAATTATTAAACTCTTGTATTATTATTTTTTATGCTATTTCAGATTTCTTTCACGTAGTAGTTCTTTGAATTACTTTATATATTCTTTAATATATATTACATTTATAAAATAAAAATTTGCTAAATAATCTTACTTTATAAACATAAAATTTATATAGGATTATATATATATGAAAAATAATAATCATAATGGTTTCTAATGAATATAATATGAAATCGGTTATAAGTTATGTAAAAATACATATACTACCACAGGTTTTAACAGGGACATTATCGTTTAATTTTGTGATAATGGAAAATTTCACCTTTACTAAAAAAATGAAAAATGGTGCTGTTTCTCTAAATTAACATTCAAATGTTGCATTATGGCTTTCAAGTTATTTAAGTAATGTAATAACAAATTACAAAATTTAATAAAATTAGCAAAAAAAAATCCCGTTTAATAAAATTTCATTTCTTTTTGGATGGAAAATTAAATAAAATGCTAAATTCATGAATAAATTATTTCTCATTGCCAAATCTAAAATAATCAAAATTACATTGGGTTCTTTGAATATTAATATTGAAAAGACATCTGGTAGTAATCACAAAAATTTGTCATGATAATTGTGTGTTTAATATATTTTAGAAGATGTAATATGTAAATTATTATTAGATTTATTTGGCATCATTTTTATATTTTATTATTATATTAATTTATTTATTGTTATTATTATTATTTTTATATGGGAATAGTTCTATATATCATTTAAGATAACAAATGGGATATTATAAAACTGATTACATTACAATTGTGATAATAATGACTAAATTTGATCCCTGAAATCTTTGGTAATACCAACGTTCACTTTGTCTGGTTTTGTTTTGGTATGCCCCATATGTAAATTGTATTGTTTTTATCTTGAACTTTTCAAATCTTCTAAAATATCTTTTGCACCTTTTTCTACCAAAATTTTTGCCAGTTCTTTACCAAGTTCTTCTGCTGCAACAATATCTTCAACTACTTTTTTTATCTCAGCTCGAATAATTTCTGATCCATCAACTCTTGCTATCAGTCCATGTATTCTTAATTCACGTCTTTTCCCATTGCCATCATTAACATCTTCTATTAATTCAGTTTCTACACCAATTGGAACACTACATCCTCCTTCCAATGATCTCATCAATGCTCTTTCAGCAATACATTTTAATTTTGTATCATTATCATCTATTACTGAAAGAAGTTCAATCACATCTTTATCATCAGCTCGGCATTCAACACCCAATGCACCTTGTCCAACTGCATGTAGAATAATAGATGATGGGAGAATCTGAGAAATTCGATGACTAAATCCTAATCGCAAAAGCCCTGCAGCTGCTAAAATAATTGCTGTGTATGGTCCATTCTCGTCATCTAATTTTGACAAACGTGTATTTCTAAAGTAATGGTAAAGATAATAATAAATGGTTAATTATAATAATGATGATCTAAAGTTTAATTATAAAAAATCATAAAATCCTTCTACTTACAAATTACCTCTCTTAATATTATTTATCGTCATGATTTAAATTATATGCATGTAATATTATTGATAAATAAAGAAAAATGTTTATTAATATATATGTGCATGTAATTAAAATAAGATTTAATCTAAAAATCTGCATACAACACTCTGAAATATCAAATCTGGAAATACTGCTTTTAATTGTGCAGATCTTCTAACACTGCTTGTTCCAACAATACTACCCTTTGGCAATTCATTTATTGTTTTATAAGCTAGACCAGTTTTAATTATAACAGCATCTTTTGGATTTTCTCTTTTTGTAATTGCTCCAATTATCATTCCCTCAGGAAGTTTTGTTGGCAAATCTTTTAGACTATGCACTACCAGATCCACACTTTTTTTAACAAGTTCGTCTTCCAACTCTTTGGTAAATAATGCCTTCTCGCCAATTTGAAACAATGGTTTGGAAAGGATTTGATCTCCAGTTGTTGATCTTGTTATAATTTTGAAAGAGTAGGTTGGATATGCTAATGATAATGCCTTTTTAACTTCCTCTGCTTGAATTATTGCAAGTTGAGATTTGCGACTACCAATTACAAAAGTTTTTGTTGATATTGTTGTATCAGACATTTTTTAATTTTTTCCATTAATCAAAAATTTTTTTAGGATTTTCTGTATTTCGCATATTTTGCAGGTAATTCGGACATTTTCCGAACAGGCAAAACCTTTATCCATTGCCTGTAGAGAGGGATATATTATAATTATCCTACCCATAAGTTTGTTGATCATAGAGTGTGTTATCCGGACAAAATCCCGGATATCAACATCAGAGATATCCATGCCATACACCCCGAAAGGCGGAAGTTATTCAATGGATAAAAGGATTTGCCTTTCGGAAAATGTCCGAATTAGGTGATATTTTGTCATAAATATTTAGACACCAGAAAAATTTCCGTCACAATGATTGGTCTATTGAATCTAATAGGTCCTTCACAACATAAAAATTCAAATAGTATCAATCCATTCTCAAATGAAAGAATACCTGGTGTTTTTTTTTTAGAAATGACACAGTAATAATGTTTAGTATTTACTTAAATCAATAGAAAGTTGTTAAACATAAAACAAATATGAAACAACAAACAAGTATCTGGCAAAAAATATGCCTCAAGATTCTTTTGAATACTAGCTATGATGCATTTTAATTCAGCTTTAAAAAATTTTTGATGTTTTTTCATTTATGATCCATGTATTATAAATAGTGATCTTGAGTATCTACTCCACTAAAAACATTGTATCTATACTTGCCACCCACACTCAAATCCTTAAAATCTAAGGCTCTGCACAAGCCAGCATGACTTGAAAAAATAAATGATGGCTTGAGCCAAGCCAAGATTATAAACAACTGACTCAGCTCAGGCTCGGCTTGGCTTGATTAAGATGATCAATGGTTATGCAAATAAAAAATATTATTGTTATAGACCGAGTAATAATTAATTTTTAATTTCTAACATTATGTGTGTACTCTCTTTATTTATTATTTATTATTTTTTTTTTTTTATCAAGTAACATGAAAATAAAGAATTCTTTATTTTATTATGACAAACAAAGAGTTCTTTATTTTTAATAGATACAAAAATTATTAGAATGAAAGAATGAGAAATTAGAAAATATTATATATAAGGCATGAAACCATATTGTTCTTGGTGACAAGCTTTAAAACTTCTTCTTGACTATTCATTATTAATATCGCTTTTCGTCTGAATGTAAAAAAAATTAAGGCCATCACAAGGATTTGAGGTATAACGTGAGTTTGCATGATTGGCCGAAATGTGACCTTGTGACATTAATGTTTGCCCACCGATCTTTCCAAAATAAATTCGTGATATGGAACTTTAAGTCCTAAACGGTAGGAAGCCTCGGATTTTTGGGACCGGGCTCCAAAAGACTGACGATAATAATAATAAAACGTGTCTTGTAAATTCAAACAGTGTGTGTGTGATCTTGACTGATTATGATCATTATTCATACATTCCTTCCTTTTAAAAAAAATATTTTAAAAATGAGTTCCATGAATTTGAACAGTAAAAGATGTTGTAAAGAATCACAAGTTTGGACCATTTTATCAAATATTATATAATTACGGCTATATGTTATGTGTGTGTCTTAATCATTTGCGGTTTTTACGTCTTCTAATATATATTCCTTTCATGGTTTTCAACGAGTTTAGGCGCGCCAATCATAATCATGGGCATTATTTGATGGATAATTGGCATATATTCCTTGGCCATTTGGCTGATAAAATTTCAATACAGTAAACTAAATCATTGTTCCATGAAAGGGTCTTCGTGCGAGGAGAGATATTTTTTTTTTATATTTGTGGAGAATTAATTTGAAACAAGAATAACTTATATCGTCTTTGTTAGAACTGTACAATAACTTTTTTAAATAAAGAAAAAAATAAAGAAAAAAAAATGTAACGAAAAAGACGCGAAATTCATCACAATTTGATTTATTCGACAAATGTGGTGATCAAAAAAAAAATTTTTTATTAATATTAATAACATTAATTAATTAAAAAAAAAATTCACAAAGGATTCTAAATTTATATATCAAAGGATTTTAATGTGACACGAATTTCTATTAAATATGACAAGGGTTTCAACAACGTAAACAATAAATATTATCATCATGTACATAAAAGAACACACGGACGGATTGATTTTTTTTTTATTAAAAAAAAAAACTATCAATATTATTATTATCTGTTATCATTATTATTATTATTCTTGCAGACAAAGAGGTATTTATATATTTACTATTTAAATTTTTCATTCTTTATTCTTAAAATTGTTGCCATTTTTTGTGCTTTTACCTATCTTTTATCAATTAATTGTGTAATAATACTTTATCTTCATTACATTCATACTTCCATCCATCCATCTAGGTGTATGAATCTCCGGCTTATTATCATCAATAAAAATATATTCTTTAAAAGATAAAAAAACCCAACTCATTATTTATAAAACCAATAATACACCACCACCCATCCACCCACCCACCCATTCATTCATTGTTTTCGAGGCCCGGTGCTTAAACAATTTTCTTTTAAAATTTTTTTAAAAAAAAAACAGAGCAAAGTCGGAGGTTCAACATCTAACACATTCATTCTCTCTTTCTGAATAACATAATAACCAACACGTACACACACATACATATATGATATAAAAATAAGAATAAGAATATATAAAAAATGGCAGATTACGTTCTCACAATTGCTTCGTTTATGGCAGTTATTTTATGTATAATACCTGGTATATTTCACATACAAAATAAAAATTGGGGAGCAATATTTATGTCATTTTGGGTATCACTCATAAACCTCATAATTTTCATTAATTCGATACTTTGGGCCAATGATTTGGAAGACAAAGCACCCGCCTATTGTTATATAACAGCACCACTTGTTAATGCAGCACATTTCGGTATATTAGCTTCTGCTGGATGCATGATACACACTTTGCATAATTATGTAGTGAAACCAACATTATTAACAGAACGTGTTAGAAGGAATCAATCCCGGATAGATTTTGTTTTATCAATCATAGTACCTTTTATTCTTACTGGACTGACATATTTAAATGCTCAGTATGTATATGGGATCAGACCTGTTTTAGGTTGTTTTATACAAGCAAGCCAGACTTGGGTTTATATTATTGTAGATGGAATGTGGCCTGTACTAATATCTGGTATAGGATGTTATTTTGCAGGTTTGTAATGTTTAATGAATTATATTACATATTACATAATAACAATAATAATATTAATAATAATTAATAATAATTAATATAAAATTTTCTGTTGTTATATTTAGCACGAACTGCTTATACCATCATAAGCAAAGGATTAGAAATTCAAAGTTTATTAAAGTATACCAAATCTGGTTTAAATACAACAAAGTTTTATCGATTGGTGTTGTTCTGCATAAGTTTCTTGATCTTTGCATTTCCAACAGCTTGTTTAACATTTTTCTCGAACGTTACACTTAAACCATATGATTTTAATGAAGTGCATGGAAATTTTAATCAGCCGCAAACATTTAATAACGGAGTAACGTTTGTTGATTATGTTAAACCATTGACAGGATTATTTGTGTTTGTATTCTTTGGCACTGGACATGATGCAAAACGAGCTTATTTAAGATGGGCCAAAACAATGAAATTGGATTTATGTTATGGATACTGTTTAAAACTCAAAAAATCAAATAACAAAATATCCAGTAATGCTACTACTAATGCTGCTGCTACTACCACAATAGGAAGTTTGTAAGTATATATATATATATATATGACATCGCCATCGCCATCGCCATCGTCATTATTATAATTATTAATTATAATTATTAATTTTAATTAAAAAATAAAAAATAAAAAAAAATAGCCAAACAATGCCAAATAACTCGCAGTCAACTACCCCAAGAAACCCAGGAACTCCACCAATGACAAATATAAATAACATAAATAAACTTTCACCACCTACTAAGAAAAGCAATTTCTTTTCAGGACATCGTACACCAACTGAACAAGCACAATTTGATCTTACTAGTGGCATAAGAATCAGAATCGATGGATTGGATACAAGTACAATTGCAAATGAAGAAGATTTAGAAAAAAATGACAAGTCTCTTCTTTTAAAACCAGCCCCGGCCTATTTTAAGCCAATTCATAAAACATCATTAGATGATGATGGTGATGATGATAGTAGTAGACTTGGACCAGATATGATAAATATAACAATCCATAATGATTATAATAATTCGTCATCATCATCGTCGTCGTCGTCGTCGTCGTCGTCGTCATCATCATCTACAACACTTAATAATACACCTTTACCAACACCACCACCAGCAATAATATCAAATTTTGTTTATGATGGAGATAGTTTTGGAATTGTAAGTCATATTGATGCTTTATTATCAGTTTATCCTGAAGACGAGGATCTACCAATTGTGCAAATTGTTCCACCAACACCTGCTTTTAATGAACGATACAGCAATAATAGCAATAATAATAATAATGATAATAATAATAATAGTAATCGAATCGAAAGTTTCATAGATAACAATAATAATAATATCAATTATTATTATCTATAATTATGAGCAAACTGGGGTTGCTTTATAAAATAAAATAGATGATGATAATAGATTTATTTTTTCTTATGTTTTTAGATTTTATTTTTTTTCATTTTTGCATTTTTTCATTTTTTCATTCAATTCATTCATTCATTCATTCAATTCATTCGTTCATTCATTCATACACACATTTTTGAAATAACTTTTGAGACATCGGCATTAGTTAATTTGTCATTTTTCGCAGTCACTTCGGATTGCTTTTCTCTGCGATAAAGTATAAAGGCATTTGGTGGACGTGGAGTTCTTTTTGGTTTATTTGATCGTTTTTTACGTTTTGATTTTAATAATTTTGTTGGTGACAATGATGACGAATCTTGTATAGCATTATTAACATTGCTGGTATTTGAATTAAAGGTTGCGGAATTTAAATTAAAGATTATATTATTGGGGGTCTTAATTAAAGATGAGGCGGCAGCGGCGGCGGAGGATGATGATGATGATGATGATGATGATGATGATGATGATGATGATGATGATGATGATGATGATGATGATGATGATGGATTTAAAATAATTGGATCGATTAAACTAATGTTAATTTGTTGAATATTTTCACCATCATTTGCATGATGATGATGATTATTATTATAAATCAAAAAAGAATTTTCAATTGGCAAATCAAAAGATGATGAATTCTTTTTTCTCTGATCTTCTTCTTCAACAACATCAAACATCAAAAGATGACAATATTTCTTTCTTGCGTCTTCGTCCATCATCGATTAGTTAATTATTCTTTATATTTATTTTTTTTTATTTTTATTTTTTTTTAAAAGAAAAAAAACAAAATCAAAGAAGAATTAAAAAAAAAAAAACAAAAAAAACAAAAAAAAAGAATTTGGTGTTTTTATATGAAATTGTTATTGTTATGTTTGATACAAGCTCAAATAATATAATCGGAGAAATAAATAAACAAATATACCAAACATAATACAAAATAAATCATATATGTATGGCCAAACTAACTATTTAAACAACAATAATCAAAATACCAACTTTTTTACCGGAAAAATCTTACAAAACAAAGAAATAAAAAACTTTAAAAACAAAAAAATTTAATTTTTGAAATGGAAGGAATAAATATTTGTGTAAACAAAAAACCAATAAATATAATAGAAATATACCAAAGGAACAAACAAACTTTTCCCTCCTTTTTTTCATGCTCTAGAAAATTCCAATAATAATCAATCAATCAAATTTATTTATTTATAAATAACAAACAAACAAACCAATGAGCATACCCGTCGTCACCCGTCGTACAAAAAAAGTCTAAACTCTCAATTTCAAACTCTATTATACATTTGATCGATTTTATTTGTTTCTGCGCTTTATGAGCACAGAATAAACAAATAGGAGGGTGACCTTTTCTTTATGAAACCAATTATTTATCTTTTTGCACAAAAATTTATTAACTTTGATTCTAAATTTAGAAATTGAATGCTCTTCTCCCTCCTCCTTGACAAATAAATAATAAATAATAAATAACAAATAAAACATTACGAAGCGTAATCAATCAATCAGCTGATAGATTAATCAATCAATCGATTCGTAATCCATCCATCCATACATCCATCCATCCATCCATCCACGATGTCATATGTTGTTGTTGTCCGTTAAGACAGACACATGTGTAAGAAACCAAATAATCAGTCAATTGAAAATAAAGAGCACAAGATTCAATAATCCTTAATATTGTTGTTTTGTTATTGTTGTTTTTTTGTTATTGTTTGAAATAAATTGACAGATAATAATAAATAATAAATGTGTGAAAAACCAAAAATGTTGATTTTCCTTATTTTATTTCCATGTGAAATAGATTTCTTGATAATAGCCGAAAACGAATAGCTAAGTGAGTGAGTGAGTGAGTGAGTGAGCGAACGAACGAACTGTGGAAGGATTATCAAGAGTAATTTTAATTAATGATCTATTATTGATTTTGCATACGCACAATATTTAAGAGTGAGTATTCATTGTTGGAATGGTCGCTAATTCATTCCTACTAGAACGAGCGAAGAATGTTTGGGATATGTGTGAATGAATAACACAAACTAAAAATTAATTAAAGGGAAGAAATTCCATCAATTGATAATTAATTAATTATCTGTTTTGTGTATTTGTCATATATATCATATAAAAAAAATAAGGTTATGACGACATGTTTTGATTAGGAGGGGGACAGAAAATCACGAATTGGATTTTCTAATTACATAAATCTTTGTTCATTGTTATGTTTTTTTATTATAAATCATATGAAATTCTAAATCTATTTTTAATTTTAATTTTAATTTCTTTTTTTTTGTCTGCTTGATTTACTTTACCAACTTCGCCTTCTACTCTTTTCAACTTTTCCCACTCACTCGCCCACTCGCTCATTAATCAATCCCTCCTCCTTAAGTTTATTCATGTACAAATAGAATTTTGTCTCAAGAATCAAAAAAAAAAAAACACAAAACACAAAACGAACCAATCTTAATTAATTCTATCTGGCTATTTGTTATGTAATAAATAATAATATTATTATTTTTCTTTTCTTTGTTTATCAAAGAAACGCCAATTGACTCGCTCGTTGCTTATTTCAGTTACATATTTCCCAATATATAAAGAACACATCACATGATAACAATTATTGCCTTCTTCCATTTCACCTCCTTTTTTTTGGTTGTTGGCTATTTTGGGGGTAAAAAAAGTATTATTTCTCTCATTATTTTATTTGAGGATAATATTCTATGCAAACACGTATTATATAAAAACGCGTAAAAATACAAAAATACAACAATAATAAATTGCATGGATGGATATAATGTATATATATAGATGAGTATCATTTTTTATTTTTATTTTTAGAAAGAAAAAACATCTTTATAGAGATAATTCATTTACTATTTTCGTTTTCGTCATTGTCATCGTCATTGTCATCGTCATCGTCTTTTTTATTCCGGACTTCGATTTCATTCATTTTGTCAATGTTACTATAATCTTTATTAACAATATGGTTATATTTATGATTATGTTGGTTACTAATAATAATTTTTGACGGCAAGGGTGATGATGATTCTGTTATTATTCTTCTGTTTTGACGTTGATTGTTATGATAAAAATTCTTAACCATGTTACCAGTCCTGCCGGGAAGAAATTCTGCAATTTTAGCCCATTGTGGACCAAAACAATCATATAACTGATATGTCTTCGCTGCTTCTTCCTCGATAAATGGACCCTTCTTCACTAATATATGAAACAATATATATTAAGTAAAAAATGAAGATTAATAGTAATGTGGTAATTGAAAGAATGAAACTTGGAGGGATGAAATGTAAGAATTTTGAGAATTTTACAACAATGATTTTTTTTTCTTTCAGAAAATTTATTTGCACATGCACTTATATTTTTACAACTTGATTTTGAGCGACAAGTTCTATAAAGGCAAATGTGCAACATGCACTCTTACAAAACTCCACTTCCACATACACACGTAAATAAATATATAGTAGTAATAAAACGATAAAAATTATATTTTGAATAGAAGGGTAAATATAAAAAGAAAAAAAGAAAAGAAATGACATACAGTTTGGAGCAAGGTAGCCTAACCATCGTTCTCGACACTGCTTCGATGAACGTGACACGAACTCTTCTCCAATTTTTACCCAACTAGGACCATACTTATTATACAATCTTTTTAAATTACGATCCTCCTTATTTATTTTTTTATTATTGTTATTGTTATTATTGATTATTTTATATTTACATGTGCGTATTATAATGATGATGATGATGACGATGACGATGATGATGATGGAGAAATAATTTGTATGATAAATTTGTCATTATTATTATCATCACCATAAAATATAAAAGATTGTTTAATTTAATGATCAATCAGATAAAATATAATTAGATTATTAGATTGTTAGATGGAAAAAGAATATCTAATGTCATTTAATTTTTGTGATGATAGTAGTGATAATACCTGTGTGGTCCATCTGCCTTTTTTATTAATCATGTTTGTTTATTTGTTTGAATTTTTTAATTTGAAAATTTTTTTTTTGATATATGTTTGTTGATATGTTGATTGTTATGCTGGAAATTAATTATATATATTATTATTATTATTATTATTATCACCACGAGTAGTAACACTTTGTTCACAATGTTTTGATGTTGATGTTAATAATGATGTTAACAAGGATATTATTATTAGAATTAAATTAAACTTTAAAATATATTATAAAAAATAGAGTTGGTTTTCTTTAAAAAGCAATCTTTTAGAGATTTTATGTTAGCGGATAATAGAGTTTCAAAGTACATAGGATGATGTTTAATTTTTATTTTTTTATAAAACATCATAACAAATTAAGACATAAATAAAGGAAAAGGAAAGATGCTGCTGCGCAGCGTCGTTTAGAATAATTTATTATTTTTAAGGAATTAAAAAAAATTTTTTTTTAGATGTACAAAAGAAAGTTTGGAAGCAGCAAAAAAAAAAAGAATTTTATATTTTTATATAAAGAAATTATAATTTCCTTAAATGAGAATTTACATAATCTACAACTTATTGCGCACCTAAATTGTGCAATCTTCACATTAAAATTTTGACACCTTAATTAATACCAAGTGATTTTAAACAATTTATCACAAATTATATTATTCAGTAAACAAGAAGAAAATTCAGGTTTTTCTTCGTTAAACGTTACCATTCGTCGGGCAAAGTCGGGAAATGATTGGACATAAAAGTAAATATGTATTATATACAAATGTATATATATATATTGGATTGATTGATTTTAAGGATTGATGAAGTTGCTTTTTAGTCGGGCGGTGACATTGTTTGGAAATTTGCTGCGTTTATTATCAAAGCAAATTGTGACGTGATACTCGCACTTGACTAGTCCCATAAAATTTTTTGTTTATTTTAGGGTAAAATCATTAACGAAGAATTTATATGATTTATTCCATTTTTGGAATCTGCCTGGACCGGGTGCTTATATAATTTCCTTTAATTCTCTCACTCGCCAGTCGAATTATATACATATAATAAATACGCAAATACAACATACATATACGTAAATATTTAAAAAAACAGAAAAAATGTGGGAAATAAGGTGAAAATTATAATGAATATGTTGATGATATTGACAATTTGAACCTCGAAGAATAACTTTAAATAAACAGGCTTTCCCAAAAAGACTTTTAAACTATGATTAAAAAAAATCAAAACTTGGCTCCCCTATTGCCAGAAGCAATTCGGTTAATAATTTGATAGATTTGATGTGCAACTGTTAAAAACCTTTAATGAAAATTTTCAAGCTTAGATAATTGATGAAGGTAATATAAAATAAATAAATCACACATAATAAATACATAATACATATAAAAAATTAAATTATTTAGGAATTGAAAGAGAAATGTTTTTCAGAAATTTTTATTTCTTCCTTAGCTGTTCATGGTATCACATATTCAACGCAACAATTTAAGAATTTTGTTTTCTTTATTTCGTGCAATTTAATTAAGAATATTCCATAAAGCTATTGGCTGATCAATATTATTATTCTCTTTGGTGCACAGTTTCTCACTGGATAAGTTTTGCCTATTGCATTGAATGAAAATTTATTTTATTGGTTGAAATTAAATTTTGTAAATGGTCCTGATGCAACAGGTTGATAAGTTTGATTAAATAACATATACAGCCATGAATAAGCAGGGACGGGCATTTGATAGATTTTGGTATCTTCTTCATCTATTAATACTGTTTTTTTGTTTGGTGAATGGACATTTCATAATGCATTTGCATGATTAAACCTGATAGACCACCATTTTGTCCTCATTCTGGAAATATTAGGTTAGCATCTGGTACAATTTATATCGGTGAACGTCCTTCGAATGAAAAAACTTACAAATCAAAAGTTGTTATGTATCCATCAAAAAAAAAAGAAAATATCATGACGAAGGCTAGTCAATACATATTTTTACGTTGTCCTGGAATATCTTTATTTGAATGGTACCGTTTGTTTTATTTAACTTCTGCACCGGAAGAAGATTATATATCTGTATATACTTTAGTGATTTTACCCAAGGATTAGCAAAGAAATTAGGTATGATTTTGTTTGAGGAAGAAAAAAGACTATGTAAAAAGCAAATAATAAAATCGAATTAATAGTGCTTATAAATGGGGTCTGAGACACTTTACCGACACCCACTTTACCGACAGGACACTTTACCGACAATCTAAGTAAAGTCGAACTTGACGTAGAAATGGTCTTGCAAAGGAATACCACGACCCCCACAGAAACCACAAGATCGTAATTGTGAAATACGGATTCAAACAGTATTAAATGACCGTAACATTAGATCAACTATAAAGTTTCTTCGGGGCATTGCCCATAAATATTTCGTTTTAAAATTTTTTTTTTTGTTATTTTTTAAAAAAATTTTTTTGTGTATATTCCAAATAATAATAATTAATGTGTCACAATAAAAGTTTTTGTAATTATTGAAAAATAAATTTAATAAAAAAATAACATGAATATGCAATTTTTATCAATTTCGTCAGACAAAAAAAAATATATTACACATGTATCTATATTGTATTTTTATGAACTTGTTTTTGATGCAAAGTAAGGATAATAGGTGGTGTTATTAGTTAATTAACGGTTGATTTAACTTGTTGTAAAAAACCAAATTTTTAGATAATTACCCAGGTCTTCACACAGTCCTTGGCAAACTGTTAACACAATGCTTGTCGGTAAAGTGGGTGTCGGTAAAGTGTCCGGGTCCGAAAATGAAAATGATGGCCTGATAATAGAAATACATTAATATAATAATGATAGATAATTAATTGGATGAAAAAATTCTTATAGTTATTGGGAATTATTATTTTCTACAACAAAAACATAAAGGCTGGGGTTCATTATTTATTTTTTAACGCGTAAAGAATCATGTTAATAAGAAGAAATTTCAACTGTGGCTTATAAATCTATTATTCTGCGAAGCCACACGAAATTTATAAAATAATTGTTTCGCTATATCAAACGGTAACAGTGCTTCCATCTTTAATTGTTAACAATGTAGGAATCATTGACGTGAATAAATCTTAATGATTTCTTGTGAAATATAAAAAAATGTGCGAATCATTTTTTTCTGAACTTTTTTTTAAGAAAAAATGAAAATGAAAAGATTGTTTTTTCAATAACAATTCTAAATGCATAAATATAAATGTTATTATTTATTATACAAACATAGTAATATCACATAGGACCGTTAGGTAAAAAATTAATTAAGTGTTTTATGTAATTTTAAATATTGGAGAAAATTAAAAATCACTATCAATGGTTTTAAAGGCTCCATTTTATATTGCGTGTAGCGATTAATGATATATTTCCACAAATTGTAAGTACTACAATAATAACAATAAAAGTATTATTTGGCAGTTTATGGTGAAATTTTGCCAGAACTTCCATAATACATTTATGAATATTGTATTTGCACTCTTTATTTCAATAGACGCTTATATAAGGTAAATTGAATTGACCCTATTTAATTGTGTTTTTTATATTTATAATAATGAATTTTATTTTTATACATTTTAAATATGCCTAAAGAAACATCTAGGTTTAGGAGAATATGATTGGAAACAGTTTCTGATTATTGCAGCTGCAGGTATGCCCCGAAACATTTTAGTAATTAATTATTATTAATAATTTTTGCCCTATTATGTAGTCTACACTTTAATTTTTGTTTGATTAAGAAATATTATTAATCCATTAGGATGTAAATCTGTCAAAAGTGACGATACAGTTACTACAATTATAACCTTAGCAACAGCTTTACTCATATCATCATTTTGCTATGCAAGTATAATTTATATGATTAACAATATGCATGTGTATCTAAAAAAATAGCTTGCTATATTTTAATTTCTATTCTTTAGTAAGTTAAGGACAATCATTTAAAACTAATAAATTTAAAAATTATATTTTATTAATTTACATATTTTCATAAAATATTTTCACCAACTGCGCTGACTTAGGTTTTTTGTTTTTTGTAGGTGGGCGATTCATATATATTATTAATATATTAATATATACTGTATAATACTAAATATATTATGTCATTTAGTTGTATATGTAAATATTGGGGGGCATCGGGAATGATTGCATCTACCATTACCAGAAAGGATTTAAAGATTTCATTGATGGAACATTCAGGTACTAATAATAGTAGTGATAACAGCAATTCCAGCAATAATACAGCAAAATTGAAATCCATCGAATGTCAATCGTAAATAGTTCACTTGATAATAAATTTTAAAATAACAACAATAATAGACCATCTTCTTATAGAATAAAGCTAAATAAAAAATCTATAATAAGTAAAAATAATCAAAAATAATCATGACAAAAGTTAGACCTACCTGGAAATCGTCCGCATGTGATGCATTTCCGTGTAATACATATGACTAGAATTAGAATGTTGCACTAGATAACCTGTTATTGATTTTTAATAATAAATGATTGATTATTTGTATGGTAAAAAAAAGTTGCGTAAAATGCATGTATGTATATAGCAATATTAATGACAATATTAATGAGCCTTAAATTTTAATCTTTACTTGTTGTTTCATTTTTTGTTTTAGTCAGGCTGGTAGTCCGCTGATCAACGATAAGAGACCACGGAATCCAAAATTGTCCATTATTTTTTTTTTTAAAAATATATTTCAAAAAAAATTTCCTAAATAGTAAAAGTATATAATATATATGTAAAAAGTTACATGAATAGAAGTTTGTGGATGAGGTTTAGTTTGCTTTTGCTTCTGATAATTTTTGAATTTGCGTTGAAGTTTTTTTACCCACATTAAGTAAAGATCGAGCATATTGACCTTCTGTCAGCCATTGGATATACCAGCTATTGTATTTAATTTTTCTTATTAGCCCGATATAAAAAAAACTTATTTCAAAAGAAATTATTTTGTTAATAAATAATTTCTATAGAAAATTAAAAAAAGCAAGGTTTTTTTCATACAGATAATGAATGCTATACAAAATTGGATCATTTGTTATTCTGCAGCATGCAAAACTGAATTTATAACAATGAAGTAATTCGTAATAAGTTTCTTTTTGGATAAAATTCATTATTTATTCATAAAAATAGTTGAGAACTACCATTAAAAACTAACTACATTTTTTTTTTGTAATGTTGCAATTCTATTATTTTTTTCATAAAATCCATATATGTATTTTATGTGGAATCCACAGCTCCCTAAGAGTAAATGTTTTAACACATATTGGGAACTTGGAAAATGTTGTTCCATTTGTTCACAAATGCATAATATATAAATGTTCATAATTATTTATCAAAAAATATTCATGGAGAATTAATAC